ATTAGACAGAAGTAACAGATTAGATCATGCTTAGGTGAGTTAAATGATTTGGGATCAGTGAGGCTGATGGAATTTGCCTTAAATTGTTCAGGGAATAACTGAAGCATTTCCACAGCCATTAATAACTACCTTTAAGAACTGCATGGAAGAGGCAAAGTTTTCAAAGACTGGGAACACAGGAATAACAGCTATCCTGAAAAGTAAGTAGAAAGAGGAGGTGCAGAATTCTGGCTCAATCCATTTAAGAAGAGAAGATAATAAAAATAGAAGATAATAATAAATAAAAAATAGATTATAGACTCATGTATTAATCAAGAAGAAAGCATTCCAAACCCAGCTAATCTCCTTTTATAAGATCATACCAGGTCTGGTGAATCACAAAGGCTGAGCAGCTTGAGATGAGTGAAGATTTTAGTACAGTATGTTAGAGAATATTTTCATAAGCATATGAGGGAAATGCAGCCTGACTGAACTAATATAAGGTAGGATTCTGCAGAATGAGTGAAAGAGGCGTTCTCAGTCTCTCTGAGAATCACTGTCAAAATGGAAGGCTTAATTTACTGCAGATATACTGGGGGTCTCTCCTGGCTAAAGTCCTCTTCTGGAACTTTATTAAATGGCATGGATGCTGGAATAGACAGTATGCTTATTAAAGCTGACAATCTGACAAAGTTGAAAAAGCCTGCAAGCACGTTAGAGGACAGCCGTAGAAATCAAAATGATCTTGACAAATTGAAGTTATAGACTAAAAAATACGGTGCTATTTAACAGGGACTAGAGCACAATACAGCAAGAGTCAGAAAAGAACTGTACATGTTGAAGATGGAGCTATTGGCTTTGGAACAGTTCTGCATTGAAAAACAGGATGCAGTACACTAGTATTTCAGTTCTGATCAGAAGTGCATTTTTGAAGCAAATCACTAATTATCAAGCTTGGTTTTCTTGGAGCATATGGAAGAAAATGATTCCTTCCCAGAAAGACTGAGCCAGATGATATGCTTTGGGTGCACCCCAGCACACTGCAGCTGTTAACGGGCATTCAGGCTGCAATGCTAGACCAAGGCTGCTCCAAGGTGGAGATCCTGCATTCAGACAGCATGACCATGTGCTCAGCACCAGCTGTTTCACTCTGCGTCTTCCTTCCTGTTGCCACACACTGCTTGCTAAAGTACATAGAGCCATCCCAAGCTGACTTTGAATCAGCTGTACTGTGAATAATACAGATGTGTCAGTGGGACGATGTGTTGTCTATGAGGCAAGCGAAGTAATCCTTCCCAGCCGGTGAGATCTCGGCGAGAGTATTGCATTCAGTTTTAGCACCATACTTCTAATTATCAGTTGAATGAGTTTAGCCTAGGAAGATTCCCACTCTCAGAAGCATGAAGTGCAGGGAAGGATCTGGTGTTGTTTCATCTAGAGAAGGGTGAAATGGTAACAGCTTTCATGTCCAACAAAGGCTTCTGAAAAAGAGAAGGGGGACAGATTGACACCTGTGTGTACAATGGAGGCGGCAACACAGCCCAATACAGATTGGACAGAAGAAAATCTGCCTTGTATTATGACTAGTGAGACAGCAGAAAGCAAGGGAGACTGCCAGATCCACAAACAGGTTAGACAAGCAACTGTCAGGCTTGGTTTAAATGTAGTTCATCCTGCCTTAGGGAAGGAGATGGGCTAGATAATCTCAAAATCACTGCCATAGCTATTTAGTTTGCTTCTTTTTAAAATGTAAATAGTAAAATTTCTCTTCCCTGCTCCTTTCATCTTGTCATTCAACCTTTTGAATCATTCCATTGATCTCCTGTCTGCCATTCCCTGTTACATCTGTCTGATCTTTCCATTCTCCATCCCTCAGTCCCACATCTGCTTTTCCACTTTTGGCACTGTATCATCTGCAGAATGATTCTGCTAGGAAATCCCTTGTTTTTCCCCCATGTACAAAGCAACATTCCTGTATTCATTCAAATTCCTGCGTAGGTATTTATATATAATTGCATCTTGATTCAGTTCCCCAAGTGTTTATGCAGTATTTAATGATGGTTTTGCTTCTTCTGTTCTTCCAGTGCCTCCTTCTGTCATTACTGACTAAGTGACAATCAGATCAGAGGTTATCACCATTTTCCCTAAAAATAGGATAATTCACTGTATAAAAATACAACTATGTGGAAAAAAAAGGACACAGTTATCAGTAAGAAGCTTACATGGATTATCTTTGAAATAACAAGCATCACTAGCTTACCAATGTTAGGAGGATGGACATAAACAAAAGTATTATATGTGAATACAGAGTTCCACAAAGCTCTAATTTTTCTCAGATAATATTTGGGTACATATGTGAAAGAAAAAAGGATGGTCATTTGTTTCTTTGCTAGTGTTTCTGTTTCCTCCAGTGCTTTGAGAGTGCCCAGCATGTGGGCACAAAGCAAACCCTGCTGCCATCAGCTGCTTAATAAGACACAGTGTCAGCTTTCGGGCTGAGCTCTGACACCAGGCTGGTCCTACATCCTTTATGATGTACTTCATCACATCTTTCACACTGATGTAGGACAATAGAAAGCCTTTTTCTACAGCAAATGAATATCTTCTCTCATTGCAGCTATCACTGTAACGGACTCTATAAGGCCATTTTCCTTGTTTCAACTTTACACCCACCGAGTTGCCATCAGAGCAAAGGTACATTTTGTTCATTTTGTTCAAATACACACAGCAAAGCCCAGATTTACCTGTGCAGTCTACTGCCTGAATTAATCTCCAGAAGTCAACTACAGTGCCCACAGCCTTTTCAGTTTAACAACAGTCAGCTGGCACAAAGACATGTTTGAAGACATGTTGAATTTAAAACAATTCAATTGAGAAAATTGTCTTAAAATCCTTATTTGTTAGAAGGAGGCATAATCCAAAAAGCTAGGATTTAAAAGCAAAATTCCTTTGTCTTGCATGTCATTTTCTGATATAGCAGATACACAATTCAATTAACATCTGTTTTACAATATAACTTATTTGTTAAGAAAATTGCTCATGACCAGTTTATTTCTAATATATAATGTGCACTATCACAACAGAAATGGGCATCGCTATAACAACTAATTCTTAGTAAGGAAAGAAATAAATTCTGCTTAGTTGATTCAAGCAAACTGTCTTTCCTGTTAAAAGTGGTATTAAATTAAATTAGGCCACTAGCAATAAAGCAACTTTAACTCTCTTCAGCTCTTTATGGAATAATATTCAATGCCTTGCACAAGTCCCTTCATATCTTAGATAGGGCTCCAAGAAACTATACAGACACACAGTCAGAAAAGAAAAAAATTGTTCTTTACATTAGTTTTACTTTTCATCTCCCTCTTTTTTTCTTCTCTTTCCCAGCAAGATAAATTCAGTGTTCACTAGCAAATGAGATGTTCAGTAATACTGAACAACAGAAATGCTTCATATATTTGTTTCTTGGCGGTAAATACACCAAATATATTACTTGATAGAACCCATTTGAGATGGTTGGTTTGTTGAATTTCTCTTGTCTTACTTACAGTCTTACTCTGGTGAAGAAAATGGTTTGCATAGTTCATTCAGCAAGAACTTAATGATTTCTTGGGGGCAAATACAAAAGTTCCCAGCTGGACAACCACATATTACAAAGAAGCTTTATCTTTCATTTTGGATAGGGACCCACTTTCTTCAAAGGAAAATTTGAGAAAAAAAGTTGAGTACCATTAGGTACTGAGTTGAACCATTTATTAATATTACAGATGTAACTCATCCGTTCAATTTTGAAATACAGACTATCCACAGAAAGGATTGTACAGCTTTCCTCCCATGGAGCCACATGGGAAAGTAAAAGAGCCCTCAAAGAATGAGTTTTAAATGTGTAAAAGAACACTGGGAAAAAAAAAGAAAGAAAAGAGTATGATCTCTATATTTTAAGCGGCAGTTTAGTTTCATTCTGAGCAGGGCTTCATATAGGAATGTAAGCAAAGTGTTAATAAGCAGCCATAGCAGAGCAATTGTTTTGGATCTAGCTAACTATTCTATGCAACTCTGTCCTGCAAAGTGGAAAATCAGTTATTCCCACAGCTTTAATTAAGCCACTTACCTGAGATGCTCTGAAAGCCTTGAATTAGGGCTCCTGCAAAAAAACACGGCTGCTCCAAGTACTAAATTAGTGGCTGTTTGGAGAGAAGGGTCTCACAAGATCTCCTGTTAGAGATCTTCCTTAAGGCTTCAGGTTTTCTGTCCTTGGGTCACTTTTTGTAAAGTGAGGGCAAGAGCATATGGGTCTATCAGAAGACCTCTGGAGCAGCCCTGTCTGATTGTGCATGTGGGTCATGGGTCTCACTCTGTAAGTACGGAGCGTACATACTGCTATGGCATGGATAATACATTAGAGTCTTTGAAGCTTCCAGGTACTGTGATAAAGGAGGACAGAAAAATCTCATAGAGAATTTCATTAAGAGTAACACATGTTCAATGCAAAATATGCCCATTCCACTGTCCAAACACTTCATGGGACATTCTTCAAGAAACTGAACAATAATAAACCAAACTGGCATTGAATGGGCATATTAAGAAAGTACTGAGACAACATAGGTTTGTAGCTACCTTGTACACCACTTCAATTGTTTTACAGATAGACCTTCCAGGTTCTAATCTGATTAGAGTCATCCTCATCTTTAATGCTTTCCCATAGCATAAAGAAACAGAAATGGTCCTGAAACATGTGCATTCCTTGCTCATGGTGATCCTGTACCCTTTCCTCCTCTTTCCCTTTGAGAAAGGAAAACTGCAATAATTCAGCTGAATGTTAAAATCTCAAAGATGAACAGAAAGGAGGGCTTTGTCAGAGATGGAGAGCTGAATATCCAGAATTCATTTTTTAAAAACTTTACAGATTAAGAATCAAGAAAACTCTCAGATATTTATTTTGTACAGCCAGAACAAAAATTAACCTTTCATTTTCAAGAGATCAATGTTTTACTTAGTTTGTTCTTTTTCTTTTTTTTAAATAGATGAGTAAAAATTCTTCCAACATAATGGCTTTGGTTCCCAAAACATCTAACAAAAGAGAGACTGTGTGTATATTTGGAACAGGAGATTTTGGAAGAGCTCTGGGCCATAAACTGATTCAGTCTGGCTACCCTGTCGTATTTGGAAGCCGGAGCCCATGGCCATCCAGCCTGATTCCCAAGGATGCAGAGGTGCTGAGCCATGCTGAGGCAGCACAGAAAGCTGCCATCATTATTATAGCAATCCAGAGGCAACATTATGACTTCCTTGCATCACTAGAGGAAACACTCCATGGAAAAGTGTTGGTGGACATAAGCAACAACTTAAAAATAAACCAGTATCCTGAATCCAATGCAAAGTACTTGGCTCAGCTGGTGCCCAGCGCTAGGGTTGTGAAAGCCTTCAACACCGTGTCGGCCTGGGCTCTGCAGTCAGGCACTCTGGATGCAAGCCGGCAGGTAAGACTGAACTTCAGGAGTTTGATGTTTCATAGAGTTATGAAGTATCATATGGGCTTTTAACAGTTAGACAAAACACACACTTGGGACATATGACTCAGACAAGGCTGAAATGGAATTTTCACTGTAACTGCAAATCTCAAATTAAATGTGAGCTAAAATTTACTTTGGGATTCAAATATGACACAACAAGGAATATTGATAGCTTGCCTCAGAATGCAGGAAGCTGTTAAGAGACATTAGAGAAGCAAGGAAAAAAAGAAAACACAGCTACGAACAGAGAAACAGTAAATCAGAAGGAAATGAGGGCTGTGTCACTTGTTCACCTAAGAAGCAAAAAAAGGGATGTAAGGGATATAATGGGGCAATAGAAGTATAAGCAATGGGATAAATTAGATGGATGGTAAATAAATTAATAGTTTTCTATATTGGAATCCATCACCATGGAAGTCTAACACAAAAACAATGTGTGCAAACCATGTTAATGAGCTCCTCAGTCACAGGCAAGCTGGTCGTAGGAAACAATCAAGCATCTTCGTGGAAGAGAAAGAATTTATTACTGCACTGTTTTCAGCTACTCTGAACATGCAACTATTGAAAATATTGTTAACTTTGCTTTGTGCTGATAGAAGTGGTTTTGCCTAAACTAAAAACCAAAGATTTATAAGCCTAGGCATCTGAAATCTTCATTATACTTAGATAAATGATAGCAGAAGTTGCCCCCTTTCTGCCTATTCTAAAAGGAGTATTAATATTCATACTCAGAAAAAAAGAATTTCTTCACACTTTTACTAGATATGGGAAGAAATAATATTAAATTTCATGACAGAGAAATGATATTTGAATTGTCTCTACCCCCAGGTCCCTGAAGCCCTTATAGACCATTGTAGTAGCAATAGAAAATATTGTTCCTACTTACTATTACAAAACCTTGTGCTTATAAACTGTGGCAGGATCTTCAAAAGAGCATGCTGAAATTCAAGCGCTCTAAGCAAAGACTGTAATCTTATATTTTGTTCTTGTCATATACAAAATTTTGCCACTTGAAGCAATGTTATTTCATCAAAGATTGATATTCTTAATTCTTGGGACTGTTGATCAAGAAGTTATCTATAACACAATTTTATCTATATAAATTATGGCTAACAAGGAAGGTAATAAGGAGCCTAGAAGCTCATATTGTCCATACCCAGACAGAAATGCAGTTGAAAATGTCACAAAAGTCTGTCAAAATAAAACCCCTGCTTGTTTTTGGCTGCAGGTGTTTGTCTGTGGAGATGACACAGAAGCTAAACAAATGGTAATGGATATTGTTCGTGCACTGGGACTCACACCATTAGATCAAGGATCTCTCTTGGCTGCACGGGAAATAGAAAATTACCCTCTACAGCTCTTTCCAATGTGGAAGCTTCCCATCTTTTTGTCCCTTGGTCTAACCGCATTCTTCTTCTTCTACTGTTTGGTTCGTGATGTAATTTATCCTTGTGTTTATGAAAATAAGGATTATTCATTTTATCTTGCAATTTCCATTCCGAATCGGATCTGCCCTATAATGGCACTTGTCCTTCTTGCCTTGGTTTATCTCCCTGGTGTACTTGCTGCAATTATTCAGTTATACAGAGGTACCAAATACAGCCGTTTCCCAGACTGGCTGGACAGATGGATGCTGTGTAGGAAACAACTTGGACTAGTAGCCTTGGCATTTGCTTCTCTGCACGCTATTTATACTCTCGTTATCCCAATTCGCTACTATGTAAGATGGACAGTTGAGGACAGAACCATCTCACAGGTAATTTTTTTCCTTGCTCTATGTCTTCTCTTCCTCTAGCCCTGTTACTAATATTACCAGGGATGCTAAACTTTAGAAGTTCACATGGACAGTCTAATGTTCTTTTTAATGAGGTTATTTTCCTAGTTTCTGTGCTCCTTTTAACCATGGATAAATCCAAAGGTTTCTGATGTTGAGTTGTGGGTAAATACCTTCCTCCTAGGTAGTCTACATATTAATGAAATAATCAAGAAATACATAAAGAATAATTTAAAGAAACTTATTTCGCTATTTCTCCATATAAATTTGTGAATCATAGAATCAAAAAATAGTTTGAATTGGAAAGAATTTTTACAGGTCATCTAATCCAAACCCCCTGCCATGAACAGGGATTAGCATATATTTTGAGTTCCTGACCTTACTCAACAACAAACAATTGAATACCTGCCCTCACAGTAGGTCTACAATCGGTAAGTACCACAATTATAAGTACACCTACATAATGCCACTCTCTTATTTTCAGTAGCCAAAGTAAATACCCAATCCTTTTCAGATAATGTGTAATATTTATCTCTTAGTTAAAGGATATTTTTTTTCTTCATATTGATCCTAAAACTGCTAACACTAAAATATATCTGGTATTCTTCTCTTCAGGCACTGAACAATAAAACTACTCCATTTGACAACACAAATGGCTGGCTTAGTGACTCTTATTTGGCTTTGGGGATTTTAGGATTCTTTTTATTTGTTCTTCTTGGAATAACTTCCTTGCCTTCTGTCAGCAACAATGTCAACTGGAGAGAATTTCGATTTGTACAGGTAAGAAAAAGACTTTCTCTAAAAAAACCTTTTTTCTTCTCAGTTGGAAACTTTCCTATTCTTTTATGACCTATGACCACAAAAGGATTTAGTAGTGACTTAGTTATTTCCTCCATTATTAACTCTAAATGTCACATCTGTATTATTCACCATCACCTGATTAATATATATTTATCTATCTACATGGCTATACAGCCCACATATAAAAAACACAACTTCCCTGACGCCTACCTATGGAACAACTGGTATTATTACACCAACATAAAATTGGGAAGGTCTAAACTTCTAATTGACAAATGGAAAAATGACACTGTGGAGTTAATGACTGCCAAATTACGCAGTCACAAAATATTTTAGCCATTTATTAGGCTAAAAATTTTGTTGGTTCACAAGATAATTCAGTTAATATGATTCTGAAAACTGACTTTATCGCTCCAGTCCTTTCAACAGCAAGCATCTAAAGAGAGTCTCCAGTTTCTGCAGGCTCTAACATTTGCTGTGCCTTTAATAAAGCCACCTCTGTTAACACTGTCATCTTGACCCCGCATTAGGAAGAAGTTTGGTGCTGCAGTGCCTCTGCAGGAACAGGGCTAGCATGGAAACTATTATCAATTAATGTTTTACTTAGGTGAAAAACTTAAACAGTAGTTCTGGGTGGATTATCACTAAAGCATATAAAAGGGTTGGACCTCTCAAATGATCCGTAGCCTTTTCTCTGCATTTTTACAAAGATGGCAACATTAGGCAATGTATGGAAAAAATTATCAAGGTTGTTGATGGGAAAAAAAAATCACATCCTGGAGATCCATTTGAATTTTTAATAAAAAACAATAAGAAATCTTATATTATATAAACCATTTTCATTTCAGTAGACTCAGTCCCAAATTTGGCACACTCCCTGAAGTTTGCTGTGCACTGTAATTTGCATTTGTTCTGGTTCAATTTAGTATTCTAACCTCTACTTCTCTCTCTTCTTTGTTCTCCTCTAGTCCAAACTGGGATACCTGACATTGATTTTATGCACCGCACACACACTGGTTTATGGTGGAAAGCGGTTCCTAAGTCCATCATCATACAGATGGTATCTTCCAAATGCCTATATGCTCTCTCTCATTATTCCATGTGTTGTACTGGTTGTCAAATTTGTGCTCATACTTCCTTGTCTAGACAAACAACTAACACGAATTCGACAGGGCTGGGAAAGGAATCCCCAGTACTCAGAACAGTCAAACTACATTATCAACAAGTCTGCTGTGTAATTAGACTAACCTGTATTGTTAAAAAGAAACAAAAAATTGAAGGCAAAATGAAGTCCCTATCCTCCCTTACCTGGAGAGAGAAAAGAGAGAAAAAGTGAGAAGCCTGGGCAGGCTCTGACTGAAATAAAGCAATCCCAGTGACAAACTTAAAATTGAAATCAAATGAGCCTCCTGAGATCCTGCATCCCAGACATGCTTTCACACAGGCCTTTTCCTTTTTCTCCCTGTACTCCTCCTGTTCACCCTCCATTCCTGACAGGAGTATGAGAGAAATGTTCAATGCATCAGTCACTCGAAATCTCCAGTGCTGGCCAGAACCAGAGCAACCTCTCATATTAGATAGCGTCTGCTCCTCTTCACTATCCTGTCCACTGGGGCTCAGATCTGCATGCTCCTGCACGCACATGCATACATATATAAACACCCTGCTTCCACCTCTGAAGCCACCAGACTGTAGAGCGAGCACAGGACAGGCGTTAGCTGAGGGAAAGTTCTCATCTTCCCAACATTAGTTTGTCCTCCATTAACATCTGCTCAAAGAAATCTATATTCATGCCTTAGAAATAGTTGAATAAGATTTGCTTGGTTTGTGTACAGGCACTCTAATGTTCAAAGTGTATCTACTGAGGATTGCTGAACCCTTGCTATACTGCAGAAAGTCAGGTGGCAAGGGGATAGAGGAGAGACCAAAATGTCAAAAAGACACGAGACATGCTTACCAGCCTAAGCTTCTCTGCAAGTACATGCACACAGTGGTTGGTGAATTTTTGTGTAAGCAGTGATCTGTATGGAAAGGAGCTGATGGAAAACACTGTTTTATTAGGAGTTTATACTGCATGTCATACTTATATATATCACAAGGAATAGATTGTTGATTTTTCTAAAATTCTTTGGATGCAATGTTATAGATGTTCCATGAAAATGCATATATTCTAATCTCAATAAAGACAATTCTTCATAGTTCTGCATTCTGTTATTATTCCTGGAACCTCTTTTGCTGTGATGCAGCTGCTGGTATGCTTAGTTGCACGTTAGTATTGGAAGGCCTTGGGGGAAGAAATAAAATGGGATCCTGTCCTCAGATAGCTGCCAGGGCTTATTTTCTCCTATTTTTGCTCCTTGGATGCTTACATATATAGATATTTGCTTAGTTACTGAAGAGGAGCGAAAAACAGTTGTGGGCTCAGAGGGCCTCAATACAGGGATACCTATAACACCACCTTAAACTCCCTCAGAAAGAGAAGACAGAGGCAGAAGCAGAGAGAATAATAAAAAAAAGACAAAAGGAGACAGTGATTGTGTGCAAGTAGATGAAAAAGCAAGACAAAATAAAATACATAGTAGCAGCCTGAATTAATATCTAGACTTGACACTGGGAGCTATATTCTACTTCCAGTGACATAGTCCAGACTTGTATTAAGAACAGTAACTGCTTCAAGATGCATAGTTTGCTTTTATGATTACCTGTTATAGGACGTGGGTTTCTGACTATGCAGATACAGATCTTAAACTTTTTTCTCGCTCCCACAGCTGAGCTTGTGAGTTAGAATTTAATTTGCAACAGCCATGGCAAGTAACACAATGAAAAGTCATGCTTTACGAAACACAAACATTGCCAATGCTCTGCCAACTTCTCTGACAAAGAATATGATTCTTTGTATTTCTGAGTGCCCTGCATTAAGAGGCTGAGTGAGGTCTGCTCTACTCCCACTGAAAACCAGTACAAGGTAACTGTGGCTTGACTGAATACAATCTGTACACTCATTCACTACTAAATTCTAGCTTCTGGGCACAGGGCTGCAGCTCATGCAAGAAAGACAAAAAGAATTCTTCAAGGAGCAGGTTGTTTTATATGGCTGAAAGATAGGCCCAAGCTTACTGAAAATGTCAAGCAGAGAGGTACAATTTGCTGTTTACTCCAAGAATAAAATGCCAATACCTGTTGTGTACAAACCAAGCAGACAATGCTATTTGTTTGCATAGGTGCATGAAACAGCTCTCACGAACTCATCCAAAGCTCTCTCATTTGAAGGCAGCACTGGGCTCTGTGTTGATTTCAGTAAATAGCAAGTCAGATCTACAGCAGCACTTGTTATTCCAGCTTAAGTGATGAACTCCATGTTGTTAGGCAGCTAGAAAGTATTTGTTACAGAAACTTAAATATTTATTCTTTAAATATTGTAGAGAACAATTCTTCAGCATTTTTTACAGGATACTTTAAGATAATTCAGTGACAATATTTTGAAAACAGTAAATGTTATGAAAAATGTTTATCTCCTATATACATTTTTCTAGTCTGATTCTTCATGCACATATATTTTTAACATACTGACAAGGCTGGTTAAAAAGGACATTGGAAGGGTTATGAAATACACTTTGGAAAATATATTTTCTATATGGTTTTCATACACAAAGAAGAGCCTTTGTGTGTAAGTACATAACACAGTTGTAAGAAATTCTGCAGGAATAAAACAGTGACTCTCAACTCAGCTTCTAAATCAAAGACAACATTTAGAAAATATAAACTGCAGCTTTTTAAGCAAGAAGTCACATGGATATGGTCCTGATAGCTAAATTTGGATTTCACTGCACAAGTTTTATTTTGATGCAGAGTGTGTAGGTATTGTATGACTTTTAGACCTCTACATAACATATAATGCTACTAATTTAACTTCCTGATTTCAATATCCATTTCAAACCCACAGATGGACTTATTAAAATACCGTCTTCTCACTAATTAATCAGGTTTACTTATGCCTGAAATAATGTGATGTCAAATACACAGTAGCCCCAAGGGACATAGCTAACACCACAGATATTGCTGGATATTGAAGCACCGGGATCCAACCACTTCCCTTTAGTTCCATTGCACCACACCATGAATCCTGTGGTCTGCAATCTATTTTTGCACTGCAGTGTGATCTTTTTTCAGCCTGTGCAACTTCATCTAAATTACCTCTTACTCAAGATTCAAGATTTGATTGTTCAGAAAGCCACTTTCCTCCTGCATGTCAGGTTTGGGGGCTTTGCTCGTTACCTCCTAACACAAATTTTAGAAGATTATCTTGTCTCAAACGCTAGTGAGCCTTTTTGGTCCACTCCAAATAAGAAACTGGTGAAAAGTATGAACGTCAGCAGGAACCATGTAACCTATGCTATGCTGCTCTCCCATACTACAATTATGTATTTATAAAATCTTCAATGTTTATTATTTAGTAATAGGTTAAATATGGTTTCTCTTCCACACACTGTGGAAGTTTTTCCTTCATACACAAACTTTTCTTCTGCATTATACATTCTTCTGCCATAGATCTCTACTTCTTGATATTAATCTGAATGGTTGGCTTGCTGGATGAAGCTGACATTTCTCAAGATTTTTTAGATATCATTGTGATAGGAAAAGAAAAACAAGACATCTCTTATTGCTGCCATTCTGGAATATAGGAATTCAGAACTGACATAAGTATTAGCTCTGACTAATAAGATGACCCCCTTGACATTGATTTCTGTAAGGAACATCAGTGCTACAAAAACATACACTGAAGAAGCTTGAGAGAACTCACACAAAGCCCAGAGAATTGGATGAAACTTGGCTGATTTCTCCAAATGCAGCAAAATAGAATTAGCTATTTTTAATTCCTGTGTCTTTAGACACATGCTTTAGTCCTGTATCTGCTTTGGTTTCCATATCCACACTGGCTCATATTCCTTGATTCATTCAAGCACAGTATCTTCACTGCTTTTTGTTCCTCACACACGCTCACACTTCTAGGAAAAATTTAAGACAAATGATTCAATACTCCCAAATCAAAACAGAATATCCCCAAACAAGTATGTTTAGGGCACTTTATCTGCAACCAAGTGCCAGCACAGAGGAAGAGAAGTATTTTCAAGAAAAATGTAACATTTTCAGCTGCCTGGCCCAAGGTAGTTTAATCAGATACAGAGTCCAACTCAGTTGTGGGAGCTCACCATCACCTTCTTCCCCCACTACAAGATACAAATCAGCCTATTTACTCTTCCTGTTCACCAACCTTTCCAAAAGTAGCTACCACACCATAGCACTCACTGTTGAGCAGCAGCAAACCCAGATGCCCATCAGATAGATTTCTATTGCTTAGTAGTGAATAAGGTTTGTAAAACAGCTTCCCCAGAGGAATAGCACTAGGACAGATGCCAAAATCCAACTACTAGACAGCCCAAAGGGCTATTCTGTTTCAATGCAAGATGCCATCATCTTTGGCTTTCCTTCAGTTCTTCAATTATAAGATTAAACAAATACAGTATCTCACTGAGAACAAAAAGGGTAAATCATTAATTTGGCATTAAAATCTGAACCGAAGGAAACCTGATACTCTTGGAACATGTGAGAGCTGGACAGGATGAGCAGAACCTGAGAAAGCAGCTAGCAGGATAGGAGAGGACATGGCAGTGTCTCCCTCCCTGACTGGCTAACAATGATCCAGAGCTGCAGAATCTCAAGGACACGACAAACCTTGCATTCCTATCCCTGGCTGAGGCAACTGGAGCAGATGACTGCAGAATTGAAGGAATTACAACAAACATATACAGGATTACAATTTGTTTTGCTGATAGCTTTTATTTCCCAACCATAAACAAAGAGTGAAAAAACAAACCCCACCCATACTTGGATAAGTCTAAATAAAGGTCAAACCTTTAGTCCCACTATAGAAGCTTTGGTGTTGTTTCACTATCAAGTCTGCTTAGAGTCGTTGAGTACCTTAAGTTGTTGTGATCTCAGTTGTGCGCAGGCCTGAGAGATACTTCTTGCCCAATTACAAAATCCTGAGAAAGATCAAGGTGCTTGTGCAGCTCTATACTGTCTTTGAGGACAGTGCTGAATGCATCACTGAAAGCCCCACTGTATGCCCTCTAGCATCTTCTGTTTGAACACAAATACCCGCGTTTCTTGGCAAACTCAAGACTTCCCTGCCTTTTACAGAGAAGTTGATCCTCAGATTCATACTTAACTGTCTTCACAGACACCTCACAAGTTTCTTTAATTCTGTCACTGACACACACATTCACACAGGAAGTCAGAGGCAAGGAAAGGAATTGGACAAAGGTTTCCTGAAGCTGAGGATAGTTCTCTAATTACAAGGAGCTTTACATAACAGAGAGCCAGAAGGCAACCTTGTGATCAGCTATTCTTTCTTTCTGCAGAACATAGGCTATAGACACTGTCTGAACTAATTCCTTTCTGGATTATCAGGAGTTGTCATATTTTTCAGTTCACAGACCCCTACAAAATTTCCATTAGTAATGCAGATTCCTGCAGAGTTTAAGCTTCCTGACAGCACACATTTTTATCCCAGTTACCATTTGTGACTGTTGGCAGGTAATCCACTAAAACCAGCTGAAAACTCCTGAATTAAAGATATCTCTAAAACAACCACTGAACTTGATTTAAATATTATAAAATTCACCAAAACCTTTGGCAAATCATTTTGACAGCTGCCTACTCTCACTTCAACATAGATTATACATGAACATCCACAGCCTGAATTTTAGTAGTATTCAGGCATCACAATTTGTAATTTTCCTGAAGTATCCAGAATAGTGCATGTGTAAAACATGTTTTACCTGAGAAGAAATTCAGGTGTAAGAAAAAAGTGTCTTCATATATAAATATGGAGAAATGTAAATCATATTTGGTCCTACAGCATGTGTGGAAGCATAACCACATACTTAGTTGTCTTCATAAGGACAAAGTTTCAACATATTCCCAACTACTGAATTTTGATTTGTAAAAAAAATTTTAAAGACTAAAAATTAAAAAATTACAAGTATTAGCAGCCACTAGGGATAACCTAAGCTTGAATAAAATTTCACAAAAGCCAACAAATGGCAACTAAACGATTGTTAATAACTCCATGGAAACAGTTGCAGATTACTTGCAAGACTATATTTCTTGTAGCCTCTGCTGATAAATTCAGATGGAGAACTGATATCAGATAAGCTGGTTTCTCAGGAATTAGTTGCAGCTCTATGTTTATTTAGAAAAAGTCAAACCAAGTAAAATCACTGCTGAGGAGAGGTGCAAGTTATATTACCCCAGATACCCTTACAAGCAATGAGGGCAGAAGATATTTGATAAACTGTGCACTCCAGCCATTGTGCCAGTGAATCCAGATCTGCAGAAGGCCACTGTAAAGTAACAACAATGGCATGCCACAACATGGAAACCACTCCATGAAAACAGTTCACAGAGGGGGGGTGTTAGAAACAGGTATGAACTATGTCCAAATTCACAGGGAACCAGGGATGGGAGTAGAGGGGTACAATCTAACATGATCTTGTTGTTTTAAGAGGTACCAAGAAGGTAAGTTACTCAACATCTGCAGTGTTGCAGGATGTTTCACACTGAAAACAACACTGAAAACTAAGGAGCAAATTCCTCTACAACTAAAAGGAAGTAAGAATGTGGAAAAATCCTTTAAGTTCACGACCACAGGAAATGAATTCATTCAACAAAAGAAAGTGTTAAGGGTGGATGCAATTCAATATTCCCAGGTCACTTTTCCAACAAATTTCATAATCCAGTAACCAGTGAAGTGGGAAGTAGCTTGTCTCTTTTATGAAACTAAAAAAACCCACAAACTATACAAACATATGCAACTCCGGCATTATTTAACAGAGCAGCAGGTGAGAGAAACATACAGGAGTATCACATAAGCTTCAGACAACAAGCACACTTACGCAGCTTTGACTTGGTTTGAAGCTGCAACTCAATTTAAAGCACTCTACCCAGAGGCTGAAAGTAAAGAAGCTTGTTCGATTCTTCCCAGGTTTGGTATCTGACATTTGATACTGCTGCACTTATTTCCAAAAAACACATAAGGAAATGTGACTCCATTGTGGTAAGTCAGCTACCCTCACATCTCAAGACCGTCTCCATCAAGAATAAAAGAAGGGTGATTATCATAGGTTCCCTCTTCTGAGGGAACAGAGGGCCCTGTATGCTGACCAGACCCTACGCACAAGGAAGTCTGCTGCCTCCCTGGGGCCCAGGTCAGAGGCATCATTACTAGGAAGCTCTTAAGTCTACCACAGCCCCCTGGTTACTACCCACTTCTGGTAGTTCAGATCAGCAACCATGAGGTCACGGGGAGAAACCCAAGGGCTATCAAAAGGGACTACAGAGCATTGCAGCAGCTAGTTGAAGGAGTAAAACTCA